CCAAACCAAACAACCAACCAACCAACAAAACAAAAAACCCCAGCCATCAAGATCAGATCAAGGCAGTCAGCTAACAGCGCAGTTTAACACAGATCAAAGCCAGATTTTGCTAATATACAGTTTCATATATGAAATAGTGCATGTTAATGGCCCCCCCAAAAGACATTACAAAAATGTGAATACAGAGTTATGGCCCTGGAAAGACATAAAAAAATTAAAAAACTATCTCAAGCTAAAAATAAAACAGCATAAAATAAAATGAAATGAATTAAAATAAAATAAAGTAAAAAAAATAAATTAAAATAAATTAAAAATAAAATCTGTTGCACTGACGTTTTTGAAGCTTAAGTCTTCCCTTACCAAGAACTACCTTACAAAGATTTCTGAACATCTTTAACTACAATACTATGGCCTCAAGCAAAAATACAAATAAAACAAGCCATAATTTAGGAACTTCTGAGAAGGAGAACCTTTGACCTGAGCTGCGGACTTGGCATCCCTCAGACACACAATTATCTGAGCCAGGCTGCTCCGCTAATCCATACTGTACCTTTAATGCAATGATATTTTGCAACATCTAAAGCACCAGGTTGCAACATATATATCTATCAAAAGCTGGGGCCTGTTCTTGTTTGCAATACATATCAAAACCACAGACCTGTTCATATGTTGATTGCCACAAATCACATTCCATATTTACATATATCTTGCTATTTTACATGTATTATCTGTCCATTATGCATTAGGATCCTATTCAACTTCCAAACAATGCAATATGAAAGGGTCTTACTGACACCCTGGCAGGGCTTTTTTCTTTATACCCCATATGTCATACCCTTAAGGTTAGTAAAATATTTATCAGACATTTATGATAAGTGCACCTATAAATGCAGGTCACTGGACAATGCGGATGGGGAACTTGCTGTCTGAAAGGGCRTCAGCCTGGTGTGTGCGTGTTTGAAAAATTTGCCACAGCTTTTGCTTTAGACCTCTAAAAACTCAGGTTTTCCTCATGCTGGTAGTATCTATTCAACTTCAATTATTTTAGATGGTCTGCCATATGTCTCTACTTGGGTTTTACCCCACAGCCTTAGAAGGGGATGGTAAGGCTTAATTCTSCCTTCAGAATGAGATTAAAAATAATAATAATTAAGGGATCCACAGCTCGATTAGATTACGCAGGCCAGAGAGGTGCAATCCATGGGAGAAGTAATGCATTCTATGTTTACTGGAGGTGAATTATTATTCCTTCTCAGAAAGTGGGCTAATATGAAAATCTTGTGTGTGCCTTCCTTTTTTATATGGCACTGTGTCAATATGGGAAAGCTCTATATTTCTTCTTGCAGTCTATGGAAAAGAAATTATGTAAATAAATAACCATTACTGTTCAACACACTCCAGCCTTCCCCTTTGTAGTGGTGGGAATGTATTTCATGTTACATGTTCAGAAGAGTTTAGTGTTCAGAAAATATAGATGTTATCAGCTGGCATCTAACTAGAAATCRAAAGTTCTTATTGCTCTGCAAATAGATTTATTTGATTTAAGTTATCTGTCTCTGTCTCTTCCCGGAAACATTTATTTATGATGATGGGAAGGTAGATACAGGAATTAATAATGCTAAAGTTTGGCAGCAGGGCAGAGAAGATGAGGGGGAGGAGGAGGGTATGTGAGTGAAGAGGAAAAAAGGCAAGAAAGGAGCTGGTTTTGGGTTACTACCCAACTTTTGGATGGTGTCCAGAATTTTACAGATTAAATACATGCTCTCTGGAGCCTGAATGTAAAAACCACTACAGGAGAAATCCATGCCAGTTTTAAATACTTAGTCCTCAGAGAAGGACTTTGGACAATATGCCTAAAAATGTCTTTTCCATCAGTCAAAGTTTGTTTAAAAGCCGGATGACTTTGAGAATGGCTTCCCATTAATTCCCCCCTGAATATGCAATGAAAAACAAGTTTGGTGAAAAGTGGAAATGTTCGGATGGGGGTAAGGGGTAGATTACTCCTGACAGCTGTGTTTCCATTTTCTGAGGTGCCCCATGTGATCCTGGTTTGAAATAATATTGTTCCCTTCCTTCACTCTCCATTCCACTGTGGAAAGGGGCTTCTCCCATCACAAATGTTACTACATTTGTTTTTTATTATATGTAAATGAAGGGCCCCTCTAATGCCACTTACCCTTTCTCTAGCCAAGCTCAGTCGTTTGGGAAGTAAATGGGAAAGACTGGGGGGAACAGGGAGAGAAAAGAAAGAAGAAAAAAATAAAATAGCCCCTCAACCATGTCCCCGTCAGGGGCAACATCCTTTGCAGGGCCTTTGGTGTGTGGAAGAGCTAAGGCACAGGCCAGATATTTTCCCAGCTCTGCTTGGAAAGAATCTCTCCWAGTTGGGTCTGGAATAAAAGAAAAGGTTCTCCTCGACTGTCCCTTTGTATTGATGAGCTCACTGAAATGAATGGGAAAGGAAAGTCTGGGAGTCTGCAGGCAGGCTGTGGAGTTAAATCACCCTGATAAATGCAGGCAGGTCTCTTTGTCACTCTTGAAAAACATGTTTCCATCAAGAAGACTTATTATGATAAAATACATTATAATGTCGAGTTGGCTATTCAGTAAATCTTCCATTTGTTTTAAGATTTGCACATTATCCTTTGCAAAGAAATATTCCCTCCAACACTGCAAGACTGCATTTGCACTGGAAGTAAAAGGGGGCAGTCACAGTACATGTCTCCGACCACCCTGAATACAAATTAGATAGTCCTGTCTAAATAAATTATCAGATGTTCAAATCGATATTAATACTACATTTGCTACATTACAATATAGTGCAAATTTAGGAGTCATTTTAATACAATGTAAATACTATCTTTTGTGCTTGAAAGGCAACAAATATTGATGGATTATAAACTGCTCAGTGTTAAACAAGGCCTTTGAACGATTTGCCATCTTTGTTCAGGAATGCCTTTAATTTTGCCTTAGCCTGGTTTTAAGTCACATTTATCAGAACAGTTACTTATTGCTAATCGAGAAAAGAGGGGAGAAACTGGTACAAGAGAGGAGCTAGGGGATGGGGAGAGGGGGTATAAAAATGAAAAAGAAAAGAAAGAAGAACAAGCAGGAAAGGTGGCAATTAACGACATCATGATGATAATTAGACTAATAATTAAAAAATTGCACTGCCCAGACTCTTATCTTGCCTTGTTTCCATTTCCTATATTTCCTTCACATAGTTCCCCTTTGATGTTTATAAATTCTCCCTTGCAGGTTACAATAATAGTATACGTATTATATTCTTATAGGCTATGACCAGAGCACTTCAAAGGCGATGCTAATGCAACTTTCCTGCTAGTTAATTCAAACCATCTATCACAGGGAAAAATTGTTAGCATGCATGTTTCCACCGCCTACACTTAATTTGATTTTGGGTTTTAGTATTATTTTTTTTGGAGGAGCTGTGTGTTAAAGAGCTGGTATCAGTGGTGATGAGGGGGAGGTTGATCCCTGAATTGAAGTGTACCCCCATCAGGCACTACGCTTCCTCGGCCTCCAATCCCTTTCCTTTAAAAGTAATTCTATTAAAAGTTTTTTTTT